TCGGCCAAATGGGACCTTTTTTAGCCGATAACTCATGGGCCCATACCATTGATGGCCTCGGTCAGTCCAACTTTTCTGGAGGCGACTCATCCAGGAAATCAAGCCCAGAAAAGTTTGGTTAAAAGGTCAATTTTTTGCCGAAAGTGTTCAGGACCATCCTGTGAGTTGCCTATTGACGGGCACTCATACACAGCGTCTCTATCAATGACTACTAATCATTCTGGAATAACTTCTTGGTCCAAGACTTTTAAAAAATAAAGACCCTAACCTCTTTGTATGTGTTGTTTCCCTGTGTTTACGATTTTTGAGGTTCGTCAAAATCGAGGCCTTCTTTCGCAAATAACTCAAAATCCTTACATAGGATTTTGTTCCACCCATAAGGACTTTTCTTCAGGATGTCAAAAGCTAGCTCCCTGCAAAAAATGGGACAATTTCGATGAAACCCAATTTCCATTGAAAGTCTGCGGGGTCCTTTGCCTGTTACCACTAATACTTTTATTTACGAATTTTCACATAAAGATTCGCTCGTTACGGCTTGACGAATCACTCGTTACAGCTTGACCAATCACCCGTTACATCTTGACCAATCACTCGTTCACCACGAAGATTAGAACATCACGTGTTATTATCTAGTGGTTGTTTAGGTTAGCTGTATCGCGGAAAGAAAGGGTGACGTAATCATCTCGTGGATTTCGGAACAATCGAGAAAGGCCAGAGACGGCTCTAGTCATAACAAAACAAATTGCGTGGGCACAATGTTGTAATATTTCAACAAACACATTTAACAAACATAAGTAACGGCAAACCACTCTCGAAATACTGGTACGTTTTTACTGGAAATCACCGAAATCACTACACATTTTCTCGAAAATTCCAAAATTATCATCTAAAATCATGGTCGAAATTAATTCGTCGCTCACAACCCGAAATGGCGAGAAAAAAAGATCATCGTATAAAATTAAGGTGGATTTTCAGTAAAATCACCTAAATTACATAATTTCCGAAATATAGGTACGTTTTGACCTTATTGGTTTTCCCTCGGTTCTGGCCTTTAGCTTATTTAGGCAAAAACACTATTAGAAATTGAACTAAATATATTTAGCAAAAATAAGTTATATGCCTATTATCTGGTTTTGGTAGACATATTTATCATGGACTTTTTTTACACTTGTAGAAAGTGTACTTACTTAACTCGAAAATTCAAAAAGTGGAGCTATCTTGTTTATTTAAAAATTAGCTATTTAGCGCTGCGACCAATAATAGTTTTGCGGGCCACAAAAAAAGCTTGGAAAGCCGCATGCGGCCCGCGGGCCGCAGAATGAGTATGGCTGGTCTAGAGTGAGCGTATATAAGATCTGTAAAAAGTGAGTGATAAATTTGGTTTTGCACCCCATTTAGAACAGATAACTGTTCGAAGTAAGTTCATACTTTTTTCGCACCAGAGTAACTTTTTATCAAAAATTATTCCAAGGTATCTGAACTGTTCCACAATTGGAAATGTCAGGTGACTTAACTTGATTGTGTCCGCCAGATGAAGCCGGTGTCTTGTAAAGCACAAAACCGTTGATTTCTCAGATGCAAGACTAAAAATCACTTTACCAACTTTTAATGCAATATACCACATACTTCAGTTCAATTACGCAACGCTCGTAAGAACTATGGGAGACATAAAAGCAAATGTCATCAGTGTATAGATATATATTACTTAGATGCACTTAATATGTAAAACAAAACTCAGCCTACAGATAGACAGGGCCGTCGAGAGCCAGGTCGGGCTCCGGGACAATTTTTCAGGTGAGGCCCCAGGACAATTTTCCAGGCCCCTCGAAAATTTTATAATAAAATTATGCCTTTTCAATATCACATTTCTAAAACAATAAAAATAGTCTTTAAGCAAAATCTTCTCCTCTTTAGTAGTGAAGTCTCTTGTGCCCTTATGGCGCCCCCCTTATGTCACTGTCGAGCCCCCACTTGAGCCCGGGCCCCGGAAATTATTCCCAGCTACCCCCTATTCGTCGGCCCTGCAGATAGTATTAGCTTTGTGGGATTTGTTTCCTTTTTTTTTTTCAATTTTTAAGTTATATTGAATTTAAATAAATAATGCAAATAAACTATTATTATTTCCTTTAAGATGACCATAGTTAAGCAGTTGGATACCCTTAATAACAACCTTTCGACTTATTTCTATAAAGTAGGTAATTTTTCTGTTGTTATTCTAATCTGGTTTCTTGCAGCTGCTAACAGAGAGTTAGATATGTCTCCTTGTGAATATTAAAATCTTCCAAACTAAGTCCGTAAGGAAGAATTATGTTTTCGTCACGCAAATTAAATTTCTGCGGTGCATCCTGTAATTACTAATCGAAATTCGACTTAAGTTTATCTAATCGAATTCCACCAAATCCATTTACAGAACATTTCCTCTAATACCGAAGTTACACTTGTTACAATAAGAAACAATTAAAGTAAATTCGGCCGCTAACTTTCCGACATCGCCGTTGCGTTGTAGTGAATAAATCATGACCGCGAAAGTTCCTAGTGAACCTCGTTCGATTGAAAACGTTCATTCATATCGCCGAAGACCCAGCTCACGTCCTGTGTGTTCGCGTTTAGTTACCAACACTAATTTGACCCCAAGTACTCTTGTTATACTCCCAGGCGATGCCTCGCCACTTTACTTCTCCAAGCGCTCGGGCCGAGCTCGCTCCGTCGCCAACTCTAACTCTTTAACCGGGAATATGTTGACGCTCTATTAGCGATAGGAGATGGTATGCCAAGTTTCGGGAACAAAATCGAAGTTTGGACTCTTGAGCGATGGAAATTTGATGATGCTGAAGTTAATTTTGTAAGACGTTTTCGACGTAATTGCCAAACGGAAGATTTTAGAGGGGTAATCAAGTGTCCTTAGAATTATGATAAAGTGAGATGTGAGTTCAGCTCTGGCGTAATTCGCGATTAAAGACTACTTTCACCAAAACTTTCAGCGTAATTTATTTGATGGTAATTCGATTATTATCAACGTGTTTCGCGAAAGCGAGAAATTATTTAACAGAATATCAAAATATACTAAAATGTGACATATGTAAAACTAAAGATGAAAAATGAGAAAAACTTAAAGACCGTATCAAAGAAACGCCAACTGACCGTTTCTTCCTGAAAAACAATTACTCTTTTAAGTTTATGGTCCGAGACTGCCGGGCTTCGAATCCCAGACCAGACCATGTGGATTTTTAATTAAATTGCACGGTTTGGTATAGGATTTGATGTGTGCCGTATTAATAGAAATTCAATTTCTGTTGATATGACATGCAGATTATAAAATCACCATGCATTACCGTCTCGATGATGGTGGGTGAGGTTTTCCGGGTTTTCCTCACCTGTAAGTCAAATGGCACCATCTATCATCTTTAAATCGCCCCGGAGCGCCACGATAAATAATAATAATATATGTCCCTTTCCCCGCACAAGTTCACCTTTTGGGGTTAAACTTCACTCGTAAGGGGGTGAATTAGGGAGAGTGTTATTATTATTGTTATACCACAACAGGCATTTAATTATATCCTAAGAAAAATAGTAGAGAGTTAGGCTATAATTTCTAACACTACAGCTTTGATTTTGCTTATTAAGCAGAACATTATTGTAACTGGCTACCCTCTAAAAGCCCAATTGTCTATTTGAACTATTTTAATTTGTTTGACTAATTTAATTCATTAGGAATCAATGAAATACTATGGGACCAATATAATTAATTATTTGGCTTTCTTACTTACATACAAATAACAATAATATAACAGCAACACTCCAAAAAAAAATGAACAAGTAATAGCTTCATTTAGAAGAATAATAATTTGAAGAATACACCGCTTGGAAATGGGTCTTTTGTGACATATATTCTTCCGTCTTTTCCGGGATAGTTACTTTGCCTTTCAACCACAGCTTTCTATGGTTTGGTCCTCAATAAGAATAACACAACGTCATCTATTTATGATCATGTTCTTCATTCCATTTAGATCTTGTAGATAGACATTCTTTTATGCAACGACTCCAAAATTATTACTCAAATTTTAAACAATTTTCCACTTTTGAGGTTGTTGCACTGTGGCCCTAATATTCAATGAGTAGGGATTAGATTGTCTTCTTTTTGACTGTAGATAGTAATTTCGGATAATGGTCTGAAATTTACTTTATTTTTGACTTCAATGAAAATTGCATGGAGGACTTCTTCACCGAGTACTTTTCCAATGCTGTCCCAATTGTCCGTTTAAAATGTTCTTGCTGAATTAAAGTTTGACTGATTGTCGTGGATTGACAGTTTATTATTTAATATTTAGTGGTAAAATTACTTAAAGTTTTTTGTTGGCAACTCTAAAGTTAGTTCCGTTTTCGTAGGTTAGCCTCGTAGGATAACATCTTCTTACAGACATTCTTTGTATTGCTGAGTCAGAAGTAATGGAGTTTGGTACTTTAAGGTAAATGACTCTGATAGTCTAAATAAATCACCATATAGTTTTTTTTCTCTTTTACGAGATACGGTCTAAAATAATTGATACCATGAAAATGGAAAGGTTTTACATAGGATGTAGTATTTGCTTTTGCTGACGAAGTGTTCTTTTTACAGTAATTTTTGAACTAGTTATGTTTTTGAATTTAATTAAGCGCCTGTTGTAATATTACCCAAAGAAGTAGTTGTTTTATTGAGGTATTTCTGTGACACGGTCTTTGAGTTTTCCCATTTTCCTATTCCATTTTTCCCATTGATAATTATCAGTCCCGATATTGTTCGTCCTTGTTCTATTAACTGGTTTCCAAAGCGAACTTAGATATTGCTTACTAAGTGTAGATAGCGATACGTTGTGACTTTTTAAATCCAATTAAACAGTTTTGCAAACGAATGCGCCACTATAATATACTATACAAAAGAGGAGGAGGAAAATTTACTGAAAACACTACTCACCTTGATAGTAAAATTGTATGGCTATTAGAGAAAAATTATTTTTTTATAGAGAATAGGTTTGACAGTTATAGAACCTAGATCCAGTAACTATAATAAAGAAGAGGAAAATATTATTTTTATTGTAGATGAAGGTACTGGAGAAGATACCCCCTCCTGTTCAATAGATACGTTCCCAGTTTCTATTAGGGCTGATTCGCCTCTGCAAGATGTGGATGAAAATAATATGAACAGTATAAATAACAATGCTCATAAAACTGTTGAATCTCCTAAAAAAAAACAAAAGTTGATTTAAAATATTAAAGCACCTGGTATAAATCAGATTCGGAGATCTCCTGCTACAATTCAGACTTGGAGATCTCCTGCTACAGTTTTATTAAACAAAAAGTGTGAAGTATTGAAGAAAAAAAATTGACATTTTAAACCTAGTTGAGGAAAGTAAGAAAGAAACAATGAAAGGGAAAAGGTTAGATAACAGGAATTAAAGAAATTATCAAAGAAAGAAACATTATCTAATTAAAAATTAAACGAGCAGAGTATGAGAAACTGTTATTAAATCAGTGATTTAAAATTTTAAATATGTTTTTGTTTTTTTTTATTAGTTTTTTATTTTGTTTTTATAGTTTTGATCTTACAAAAAGTGATTTTTTGCCTTATGTCCCTTTAGTTCATAAGTTTGTTTTGTATTTTCACTGCGATATTTTTTATTAGAATAAATTTTTTTTATATATATATATATATATATATATATATATATATATATATATATATATATACCGGGTGTTCAAATTAAAGTGTACCGCCGAAAATATGCATTTTAGAAAAAAAAGTTTCAGACAAAAGTTTTATAGTTTTTTGGGGGAGATATTTTGGCTAAAATCATTTTTTTATAGCTGACCATAATATGGCCATATCGAGGTGAATTTTGTTTTTTAAATTGGAACCCCATTTTTTTATTACCTATTCTTAAAGTAAAGAAAAAATAAGAAACGTTTGAGGGAAATATTTTTTTTATTGGACTTTTACTTTTTGAGTAATAGTTACTTGAAAATTTTGCTGAGCGAAAAAAAGTTGTCCATATTATGGTTAGCTGTAAAAAACGATTTTAGCCAAAAATTTTTCCCCACAAAACTATAAAACCTTCGTCTAAAACGTTTTATTTATAAAAGGCGGTATTTAGCTCTAACACTTTAATTTGAACACCCGGTATAGGTATATAAAATATGTATAGAGAATGCTGGTTTGGTATTGTTTGATCATTGTAATTGTGTTTAAATAAAAATATTTTTGTTCAGTTTAAATTAAAACTTGAGTAAAGAAAATAAATGTTTTTTAATAAGAAAATAAGACAGATACATCTTAAATGAATTTTTTATTATTTATTGGAAAAGTTTATTAAGGAGTCTCTAGTAGTTGTATTTTCATCTCGTCGTAGAGGACGGTCATAATGTACTATCCCTATATTAGCAATGTCTGCATCTACTTCTGGCAAATCGTCTATTATATTATTTTCTTGACTACAAAGATTATGTAAAACTGCAGTTGCTACTATAACTTCACTTGCGCGTTCCACTTTTATTCTTATCCCTAATCTTCGTTTCCATACTCCAAATAAATGTTCAATAGTATTTCTTGATCGAATTTGTGCAATATTATAGCTTTGCTGAGGTTGAGTTTGAGAATCAAGTAGTGGTCATAATAAATATACCCTACATGGATATCCACCATCTCCAAGGAGAATATATGGGTAGAACTCATCATTTTCAAACCTGGCTCTTATCAGAGAGTTGTTAAAAATGGTTGTGTCATGAACTAAATTAGGCCAACGAACCACTGTCAATAATTTATAGATTTGCATTACCAACAACCTGGGTATTAATGCTGAACCAGCCCTTTTGATTACGGTACACCTCTGCATTATTTATTTCCTTCTGGAGATAAAATTTTCACATGGGTGCAATCTAGTGCACCTATAACACCAGGTAACCTAGCCATACGGTAAAATGATAAAACTACCTACCTATAAAAATTCTACGTTAATGGCAGAAAAGGGGTTTGAGTATGAAATTTGGATTGGGTACCCATTTACTACAAAAAAGTACCCTTGATAACACTCGATTTACTCTCATGGTTTTGACAAAGTTTGTATTTTAATAATTATTGTTTATGTTCTAAAATTACTAAAATGCAAATTTCGTCAAAACCATGAGAGTAATCGAGTCTTATCAAGAGTACCTTTTTTAAAGTAAATGAGTTGCGCAATCTAAATTTCACACTCCTTTTCTTCCATTGGCGTAGAATAAAGGTGCAATTATTTAAAAAATCAAGTTCTACGCCTACGTATTGTTATCGGACAAAATTTTAATACCATTTTTTTGCCACATAAAACTCTACCAATATACCAAATTTCAGCAAAATCGCATATGCCGTTTTAAATTTATATGGGAAAAACTATTTAAAAATTGTAATTTCAAGGCCCTCTGGACCCCAAACGAAGCAACTTTGTACTAAGGTAATTTTACTTAAATCGACTTATTTTGGTCTAAGGAATATGTGGTATGTTTTTGTAAAGACCTTTTGTATATTTCGAATGTCTAAATCGTTTACTATGTATATTCACCACTGTTTATCTACTAATGACCTCGCTTGGTCCTCCACCAATATTTATATACAAATTTAAATTATTGGTGGGCTTCCAGAACATTCTCGTCAAAATTAGTAATATCTCGGTATATTTGGAATAGATTAGAAATATAATGAAATGGCTCACATTACACTATTAACAGAAGAATGGTGCATATGGCCGTAAGTAATGATCACAAGTAAGAAAAAGGTAGTACAGGATACAACATGAGTACTGAAATTTAAATAAACATTGATGACTGATTAAAATAGAATTTACAAGTGATACATATTAAGTGTTATAAGAAACAAGTTACAAACGCCAATGCACACTGTAAACTGGTGAATAATTTACTTAAAAATAACTTAAATTACTTAATTTACCATTTTATATTTTACATCACTTAATACTTTAACATTTAGTCTTTATTACTTGCAAATTCTTTTTCTATTACTCTCAACTTTTAATCTTTATAATAACGAATAAAAGCTCTATTGTTTCTGTGAATTGATGTTTCTATTTCTAAGGATATACACTTTGGAAACAATTTAAAATTGTTTTTTCGTGATATGTAATAAAAGTATGTCTCGTACTTTTAATCAATATGCGATTCACATATATCTCGGAAAGGACAAGACAAGAAGCGAATTATATAATTCAGAAAGTGAACATGGGAAGTAGGTCGGAAAGCGAATCGTCGTGATATAAATTGACATTTTCAATCGACGAGGATTTTGCGCAAAATTCTCACAATTTACTCGATGACAATCATAATTAATAAGATGAATGGAGGCCGATTAGTCAAGATAGGGTAAGGGTACAGAACGATGTATATTGTTCGGATCTTCGAAACGTGTCGACAGAGGAAGATTTATAATTGGCAATTTGTAAAAGAGGGAAATTTAGTGAATTTTTTTTCTTATATATTTATTTATTATCTCTCTTCCAAGCAGTATTAGGATTATTCGTGATTTATATATCACCACAACAATATATAAGCTCATAAAATATAGGCTTCAAAGAGTCTACTTCTTAAAATAGTTTCCAAACTTCGATGCAAGGGTATCTTTCTAGCAGCCTAATTTGGGTTTATTTAAGTTATAATTAATCACTAATAGAATTGTTGCAAAATTACCTTTAACTAAATGAAGGTTAAATTTAACTAAATGGTAATCAATGTAAAAAATTAGTCTTAACTTTGATAACTCAAAAATTTACAATGACTATATATAGAAAATTTTTAAAACTTTTTCTTTAATACGAAGGAGAAAATTAAATGACAAAATACAACAAAAGTCATCCTTATTAGCCTCCTATGCGCCAGAAAATAGCAACCCCCTACATTTTAACATGGATTCCTCGCTGAAGGTGGTTTCCAGTGGGAATATATTACCAGAAAGTTACGGGGTTCTATGAAAAAAATAATTATCTGATTGTACAGCTGTAAACGATTTTTATTGCTGAGGTGATAGAATAAGAAAAAAAAAAATACAAATTGATATAAAATGCAAAATCCGTATTATGTCTAAACACAAGGCCAATGCAAGTGGCTGATAACTAACAAAGTTTAGATTAAAAAAGGGGTAGAGATTTTCTCAGTTCAGTGTATTATACATCTATGATTTATTTTCTTTGTAATATATTAGAATTAGAAGAATTAATAGGTTATGTTTAATTATTAAATTAAAATGTGCTTGTTGGATGAAGTTAATATGTTAATATTATTTATCTTTAAAGATACCGATAAAGTATATCGATGGCTTAGTGGCAATAACACGTATTAACATTTTTCCAAGTTTTCAGGAAACGATAAAAATGTATTAGTGGTCCGGTTTCGAGTATGACAGTGTTATTTTTTGCAAATAGTAAATGTTTTTAGGTACATATCAAATTGTTATGCCAGTTTGATACGAGTTATTGCAAAAAAAAATTGTGATGATACGGGTTAATACATTTTATTTTAATAATGAAACATTGTGGATAAAATAGAAAATATTATTATAATCAACAAACTAACTCATTAAATAAAATAAAAGTCACTATTTCAAGTAATAAAAGTACAAAAACTTACTTATTAAAAAACATAAAAAAATTAAAATCACTGAAAAGGCAAATTTTCATAGTAGTGGTGAAATTCTCTTGGTAAGGTCGTTTTGATATCTTGTAGATGATCAAACTTTAATTTTGATTTTGATTCTTCTCTGAAACAAGTTTTGGGGTAATACATTAACACTAACTTCCTTGTATCTTTGAGGCAAATCTTTCAAATCGTGGGAAAAGTTTAGTTTATAATTAATTTTGCCATCCATCCCATAATGGATTACTCGAAGATAAGTTACTGTTGGATTTCTTGTTCCACGTCCAGGCCGAATGCTCTTGTATCTCATCAAGTCTGAGTTATCATAATTTTTAAAAAATGGATATTCAAGGTACTCTGCGTCATATGGGAAAGGTTTAAGTCTAGCATTTTTTGTTATATTGACATAATCATATGGTAAGAAAATTTCTCTATTTTTAAGTTTTCTTTCAATAACGCTGTGAACCGAGTCACACTCCATTTGAGTATGCCCCGGTTCTAAGTACTTTTGGATCACTTGTTTTTTATATTTTACAGCATAGTTTAATAGAACATTAGCCAAAACCACATTGAGATTTTGGTAAGGGCAACCGTC